GCGGTGCGCATGCGCACGTGGCCCCGCACGGCGGCGGGAAGGCAGCTGAGGTGGAGGGTTCACCTTTCTCCAGCTTCATTTAAACCTTTGCTAAAAATAAATACGTGTGTTTATATCCATTTACAAAGAAGAAGAAGTCATTAGCAACACCTTACCCGTACTCTTACAGTGTGCAGGTGAAGCAGCCAGCGTTCAGGGCCAGCAGGAGGCCAGGGGCAGACAGAGCTGACCCAGGCCTGACCCTGCTCCCCATCTTCTCCCCCTGCCTTCCCCCCAAAGGAACTGAGAACAGGGGAGTGCGGCAACAGAACAGGAACAAGGGTTCAGGGAGGGAGCTCCTTCGTTATAAAAATCACAGCCTGATTTTTACTCTGGACAATAACTCAACCATCAGTATCCTCCTCGGTGGCCCAGCCAATACCCTGGGTACCTCAACAGAGCCTTCAGGGGAACGCTGGGGTCATTTTCACTTTATTATTATTTTGTGGGTTTTTTTTTTTTAAGAGCTCTAATCAGCATTTCACATGATACATGATGAAGTTACTTACAAACAATGTGTATCCAGTCTCTTAGTGGATGGGGGCAAGTACTATGTTATTCCCCACAAAACCCACCCATGAAAGCTTCGGGGGGACATCACTGTTAGAACTTCAGGTTTGAACATCGCCAGCCCAGCGCTACAGTAGAGGAGTAAGATAATAACTTTGTGATAAGAGCTTCGTAATCACGATTGCATTATTCAACAACACTGTCGTACATCCTCCACTATGGATGTGGGAAAGCAAGCTAACAGTAGTATACTGACCTCCTCCTGTCACCACGGTGACATTCAAGCAGCAAATAACAGCACAAAGGAGGGGAGGGTGCTCCTTGAGTCATGCTGCTGTGTGTAAGTTATTTCACGGGTTTGATAGTTCAGTATAACAGGACAGAAGCAGGACTAACGAACCCATGATAACATAAAACACAGAATGTTCTCAACCTTTTAAAGTCATGTCACTTTTTCAGGTAGCAATTGTGCGTACACAGAAAGCACAGCTTTCCTGACTCTCGGATGTAGAGCCTGCAACACGTACAAGCCACGTGTGATACCAAATGACTTTCAGGAAGTAAATATGCATAAACATATCTATTTATATAAACAAAAGCACCAAAATGATACAGCATCAAAACTTCAATAAGGTTTTTTATTATCTTAGGAAACCAAACAGTATTTTAAATCAAAATATTATTTCTTCACTAGTTACTGTGTTTTTACATTCTCTATTCAATTCTCCAACCATATTTCAGATTGCTGAAGGCATACTTAAAGTATGATCAGTATAATTCATGCTTGAAATAAGAAAGCAAACAAGCTTATCTCCAACTTCCTTTGCAGCTCTGTATGTCAGTATTACTTTGCCCTACACCTAGATTTTGAGAAGTTCCTTAAATAACATCATTTGAAAGTAACAACATTTGCACTTAAAACATACAAAAATCTGTTAGAAGACCAGAAAAATTACAGAAAACTACGTAATAAACTTAATACAGCTGACTGGAATTGTCTTTTTGGGTACCCGTTTTTGACAGATTTGGAGAATCCATGGAGAATACATCATGTAGCACTATGCACGACACGGTCATTCACTGTTAGAATTAAAACTAAACCTGCTCCTGCCCAATTACCTTGAAGAGAAAGTAAACAGACATTAACCTCAAAAAGATCCGTTCTTTGTCGTCAAGGAAGGCAGAGGTGTAGCTATTTAATACAAGGATACAGAGAAGATCCAGACGTCCGATGTCCAGGTTACACGCAGGTTGTTTAGCAAGGTATAGATAAGTTACATTAAGTGCACCAAGGTTCACTGAACATTTCTGCAGCACTCTGATCAGAATTTAGTACTCATTACACAGGACACCTGGACATTCCTATTTCACTTTGTACGTTAAAGCTTCCTTGCGTACAGTTCTGCATGCATACAGTGCAAACCATGCCCAGATCCGTTCAGGCAGGCGCTCAAACAAGGTGAACTGAGGAGAGGCACAGGGAGATAAAACAAGAGAAAAAGAAGAAAGGAAGGGACAGATTAACATAATATTCCATTAAAGTAAACAATCAGTTTCTCAAATTACCACTAAAGCAAGGCAAAACCTGCTCAAACATCAGCAACAAAGCCTTAAATTTAACCTCCTGAAAATAAATATATTTAGACGTTTCGGAAGTAGTGCACACAGCTGAACAGTTCGGTTCTACCCTTTCCATCTTTTATTCCTTTTGGACTAATCCCAACTTCATCAATTCCTTCTACTTGAGCTAATGCCACAGAAAGCCACTAAGCAGGACACATGAAATGTGACCAACGTTCATAAAATTACTTTGGAGCCCACAGTCTGCCCCCAAAAATGAAAACCCAACATAGACAGGATCAGTTCCAGCTAGCTTACGATAAAAATGTGGGCTTTTTTTTCTGCTGTTACCTACCCACTCTTCCCCAAAGTAGAAATACACACAAAAAATTAAGACTAAAAAAAAGCTACTTCTGTTCACAGAAGACAATGAAATGCTTGCCTGCAGTAACACACCAAGTGAAATGAGATACTCTACTTTTGAACAAAAAGTTGTCTCTTTCATTCTGCTGTGCATTTCAAGAGGGAATTGGACTCACTCATTCTAAAAATAAGCACGCCCAAACATAATTTTCTAAAGCAGAATTAGTGAGAAAATATGGCACAATGCCATTAAGTCCTACAATATACATTGCACTTTTTCTGAATACGAGCATAGTTTTCATCCAGACTCCTAAGAAAGTGAACAGCTCATTTACCCCTGTTGACAAACAGGAAATAGTTTAATGAATTCTATTACCTGTATTGCATGCTTCCAGTAACCAGTAGTCCTTGTGGATAACCCAAGAGTAGAAACTGCGTGACGTGCGTATTCTTCAGCAGAAGGAAAAAAGAAAGATCTCTTTGATGCAAAGCTGCAGCACGCTGACATTTTTGTAACAATTACAGATGGGGTTAAACTCTGAACAAAAATTCCTTTTGAGGCATATTCATAATGTAGTGCTCTACTGAAATAGTCCAAGTAGGTCTAGAAAGACAAAAGCAGAAAAAGATACCTTTTTTCTTTATGGGTTTTTTTTTTTTTTGTTTGGTTGGTTTTGGCTTTTTTTTTTTTTTTTTTTTTTTACAACATGACAATCAAGTCTTAGGGCAAAGTTTTAGTAAAGTTTCAGAAAAGTTGTGGCATATTTTATACATCAGCTAAAAAAATAAAAACCTTGAATAATGAATTACCAACATTTCTATTTGTTTGCTAAAAACCTGCAACAGTACAGTAACTTGCAGGACAAAACAACTCTGTAACTCTCTGATGTGAATTTAACAATCAGTCTGACAATATCTGCTTCAAAACAATACAGAAACATTTATTTAATCTAAAACAAACACCTTCTTTAGTTTGGGGGCATTGCAGGGGACACTCCAAAGCTCACTCTACAAATTATTGTCAAAAGGACAAAATGAAGTCCCATTCTTTAATACATTTACAGGTGAACTTCATATTCAACTGATCTTCCCCAGAAGGTAGTTTAATTACTTCCTGGGACTCCCCTGTGCAAAACTAAACATGCATTTATGTGCATCTGTATTATCTCCTTTAGTTCATTTTACTTTTACAGAATAACATAAAGAAGCATAAACCTGATAACTGGGATTGCTGCAATCAAACAGATGGGAAAATGAGCACGGTGCAGTCTTACCAAGGCAGCAGCACTGATGCTACACTGAAGCTAGCACTGTGCTGCGCTGCCAGACACCCCCCCAGAAAGAGGATTTTAGACTCAGCTTGTGAGTGGATGGGTTTCTGCTCCCCAACAGCTTCACAAAAGTGCCATTCCTCACAGTTCACACACAATCCAAATAGCACTGACTTTGGTCCGAAGCCCAGTACTGGTGAGGATAAAAGAGTTTACCACATAATACATGTGGCATTCGTCTCTGATATCTGAACAAATCCCTAGAAAACCTTCAAGCATTTTGATATCCCTGCTG